AGTTGGAGTTTCTCCAAAAACTTTCTGGTTCTGAGTAGGGAATACCGGGATATAATCCCGGAAAAATATATTCCCATTCCCTCCTAACCCCCCAGTAAGAAAAGCGGTGACCTAGGATACAACGAGACATAGAGATTACAAGGAGGTTGTAGGGGTCTCCACCAGGGACTGTGTAGGGGTAGTTTCGGGAGATGCCTACGGGGTCAAGCGGGAAATGATGCCTGTACATGCTACTGACATGGACTTTGCAGGCGCAATGCGCAATCATGGAGCAGAACTTTCGCTTGCATGCAGACCTCCGGAAGGCCATTCCTCGTACAGCGCGGAAATACGCATGTGCATCTGACCTGCACAAGCCTCGTTGAGTTGGCGGCTCTCCTGCAAGCCGTGCATACGCAGGATCTGGATACACTTCGCGCTGAAGTGCAACAACTGCGAGGGGAAATGCTGCCATAGCACATTCCAGCCAAAAGCGGAAAGTTGCTCCAAGCTGCTGATTGATTAGGGCATGCTCTGACTCAGCGCGTGATTCGGGGGGTGGCTTATATTGCTATGTCCTGCAGTCATGAAATGAATCTGTCGGCAGTTGCATGTATGATAAAGGTGGAGTGCCTAGCTTTTGGCTCGAGATTCGCTTCTCGATGCGATTGCACTTCTTGCATTCTTCTTCCAGTGCACCGCATGTCTGTCCCACCAAGAGCAGCAGTTGAACGTGCAAGGCCTGCATTGAGAGCGCTTCCTTGCAAGTCCTTGGCTTAGTCACCCTTGTGGCAGGTCGCTTGGCTTCTCAGGGGTTGGGCGACAGGATGCGACAGGCGCGGATTGCAAAAGCTTGTTGGCACAATGGCTCATGAGTCATGAGTGTACTAAAGTGCCATCATGTAGAGTGGCCCTTTTCATCATCCGTGAGAGGCGTTATGAGAGCGCATGCAGATTGATGTTTGATCCAAAGAGACGTGTCTGGGCTCGTGGGCTTGGGGTTAAAGTCTCCCCGTAGGATTTTTGTTTTGTTGGCCCCAAGGCGTAGAGCTCCTAGTAAATGATAAGGAAGACCCACACGACAGCACTTCAATGCATAAGCGCTGATAGCGTGACCTACATATCAACAAAGATATGCACACAGCTCACGGAAACTTCGGCTCCCATACACATGTACGACAAATCAAGGCAAGCCCAGCGGGCTCACGGAAGCGTCGATTCCAGCACAAAGCATGCACTGCGCAATGAGTTTCAGTACTATGAACCTGCACGATAGAAATCAAAGAGAATCCAGCTGCTCAAGGAAACACTGTAATAGCCATACCACAGAACAGTGAAAATAACGCCGGCTCACAGAAGTTGTCGGTTCGTCTGCAAAACGGTAAGGAGTCAATAAGGAGTACAGCGGAAACCTGCAGATACTGTTCACGTGATTAACTCAGTTCTAAGTCTACGAGAACGGCTTACTGCTCAAGTTGGCGTGGGGTAGTGTGACTCTTTGTTATGTTCGTTCAGCTTATGTTGCTCCAGGTACAATGGATGGAGGTGTGATACTCATTGAATTATTTCGTCGCTGACACGTACCTGCTCCCATATGCAGCCAGTGAAGCCTCAGTCAAGAAAAACCTTGGACACAATTTGCCATACCACTCCACAGCTGACCAGCGCCGAACCTCCTGTTGCCTACAGTACCTCCTCGCTGTAGTTTTGACGCATAGTGGCTCTACCCTGGCTGCCATCGTACGTAAGCTCCACTGTGGAGGTGGCTGACTTCACTGATCTGGGCCCACAGGCAAGTCAACGTCAAACGCAGAGGTTTGATTTTCTGTGAGTTGGAGCAGCTCTTCAGTGCTTTGATTTTTTGCGAGGCGTGGAGTGTGGAAAGCATCGACGACTTTTGCGGTCCTCAGCCTCAACACGCTGCAACCGCCACAGCCGTCGACAAGGCCACCCCTCATCTGCGTATCCCTTGGCAGATCAGAGCGGGTGTGAACTTGCACTTGCATGTCATGTCATACCATGTCGTGTCATGTGTCTCGGCTGTGCTTGGAGCCTGTACAGGAAAACGCTCGATTGCTGTCTCTGCGCAGCAGTGTAGCAGCTGTAAGTTTCTTGGTATGTCAAGCCTTGCCTACCATCCGTTGAAGCCTTGCACACTGACATACGTGACTAGAAATTAGGACATATTCCAGCACCTGGTCCACGCTCAAAACGCAACGTGCGGGTAACGCGGGACGTAACAAATGCTGGAGGCGAAGTGTCGGGCACAACCAGCACCACCACAGGCCACGAGGGGTGAGCAGAGGTTGCTGAGCTGAGCTGAGCTGAGCTATAACTGGCACCCACGGCTCCAGGAGCGCAATCTTGTCGCACTGTGGCACGAGGCCTTGGAGGCCTTGATGCACTTGAGAGTCAAGTGCCCATCGTTTGGGGGGTGAAATTCCAAACGCTTTATACCAGACCCCAGAACCCCAATCTTGCAGCGTAGGCCCAGGATCAGGTTTCATTGTTCCCTTTGCCGAAAAAGGGGTCTGATGTTCAAGTAGAATTTCACATGTCATGGGTTGTAAGGAGCCGAATTTCAGGGTCGTAAAATAGCCCCCCCAACAAGTTTCGGGCGGACAAATTTCCAAAAAAGGTCCGGAAAATTTGGGGTTGTAATAACTTTGGGCCTGAGCTGTCTCGGAGTTGAGTAGGAGTAAGGGTAGGGGTAGGGGCAGGAGTAGCAAGAGTAAGAGTGGGGGTAAAGCCATCAAAGGAACTCTTAGTCTGCATTCACTTAATTTGATCTCAACTGCGAACCATGATTTTTACGAATTGTTGGGCCGGGGTATATATGTTTACCATCCGTTTATAACAAGGAACCCCCAGACCCCCAACATACGCAGAGGTCGTATCAAGGAAATCGATGGCTCGCAATGAAAATCAAACTAAAGATCCCAAATCTCGGGATATTTTTGGCCGTGAAATCTTTCAATTACCACCGCCTTTAGAATAACGACGCTTACATTAGAAGGAATGGAATTGAAATGGGTTTTTTCGCTTTGACCTACTACCAGAACTCCAATGCAGGAGGCACGAAGTGAAACTGAAAACTAGAATTCGGACACGGCCTCAATGATGATTGATACAGGCAGCTTCCAGGAACAAATGCACACACGTTTTTTTCGTTCTCTTTCTTTCTCTATCTCTTTCTCTATGTCTTTCTCTGTCTCTTTATCTCTCTCTCTCTTCCTCTCTCTCGGCGTCTCGGTTTCTTGCACAACCATAAAATGCAATTACGGGCAGTTCGATGAGATTTTTTCGGGTGGGTTTGACGTTCAGAAAGCAGATAGCACCCCACAAAGGGTATACAACCTAGGGTCCCCGGATCTCCTCGATCCAATGAGCTGTGGCAGAGTGGCAATGGCACGTGAGGAGTAAAAAGTGTGCTTCCTGGAGTTCGTTCATTCCGGCAACTGTTGCCACAGCTTTGTCATGAACTTGCGCATCAAATCCCAGGCGTTTGACGACCCTGTGACATTTGTGCTTGCAGCAGCACATGCCAGAACTTCCACGCACAACAAACCTTTTAACAATCAAGTGAGAGCAATAATGAATTTGTTCGCAATGCACACGTCGCATCATGAAAAGATGCGGGCGCAGCTCACACGAGTTGTGTTAAAAGCGCTGCGCGGATTCAACAGCAGCTCAGTCACAGTTTTGCAGGCTTAAACAATGATAAGGATGTTTTGGACTTGGCTGCTTTGTCCAAGCCGCATGAGCTGCACCATACACATGAAGAGGAGGTCCGCTGATACCCTTACCCAGACCTGCTTATCATCTCAAAACATGAGCTCTGCCATGTTAGGTACGGAGTGATCGTCAGTCATTTTGATCATGCCAGCAGCCTCTTGATTCCTCTGGCCATGGCAGAGATGGCCGCTAATGCGGGACAAGTCCGAGATGACGCGGAGGAGATTGTCGTGTGGACGCACACGGGTTCGAGAAAAATATTACTGGCCTCCAGGCGCTGCTTCAGAAGGAGCTAGAGCAGATCGACGCAAGCCCGCCCCCCAATGCATCTGTTCTGACTTGATTTGCAGCACTGATGTAGGGTATGGATCCTAAGGGCTGGCATCACTGCGCATGCCATCAGGCTTCTTTGCCCGTGGCAGACTGGCTGCCTTGCCTCAACCCCTGTGTTGGAGGTTCACGAGCCGCAAGCCAAAGCCAGCAGGCAAGGTAAGAACTGCAAGTTGCGGGTTTCTAAGAGTGAGGGGTTCTTTTGGGGGTTCCAATGTATTAGTAAAATTGGGGTCTATATTGGTCATATAGGGGTTATATATGGGTTATATAGGGGTTTTATAGGTTGTCTAGGGAGTTGGGAGTTGCCAAAGGTGAGGGCTCCTCTTGGGGTCCACATATTGTGTAGTGAGGATATTGCAGCGCCCACTTGGCTCCTTACGAAGTAGGTGCGCCAGCACAGTTCAGGACATCACTACTATTATCAGCATCAGTACTACCATTACTGTCACATTTCTGCTCAGTATTCAATTGCTATGTACCTTGTACGATTACCATTATTCATTTTGTTATGCTTATGCTTCTTGTTTTTTACCGTTCTTACCATTATTATGATTTTGATGTATTTTTACTATTGAGTTCTTGTCACTACTTCTTGCTCGCAGGGGAGACATGGTTTCAGTCCTCCTCCCAGGCTGGGCTTCAACTGGGAGTTTCCAAAAATCTGGGCCCCTTTTTGGGGGGAGTCCCTATAATTTGGATAACAGTATCTTGGGGTATACATAGGGTTCCTCCCAATTTTTTGGAAACTACCAACTCTCTTCGGCTTTCTCAATTTGACATTGAATGCTCCAGCCTTGCTTGGCGTCGTAGCTTTGTGGCTTGAGTCAAGAGCTGAGATGTTCTCATGGCATGTGCAGTGCTCAAAGCATCCCAAAGATCGAAAAGCCCATACTGAACAACCACGGCAAGAATTCCCTAAGGCTATCACAGACTCAAAAAATCTTGCCGGAGCAATGGCCTGGAAATTGCTCACTTTGCCGGTTCTTTCATTGGGTAAAGGTTGCTGGGACCAGCCAGAAACTCTGCCTCCACCCCATCAACAGAGCCACAGCGAGTGGCTGACTGAGCTGAAGTCCTGGCGTGCGGCGCATCTGCAGGGATACAAAGGTGAAGTTTACAAGGATCCATCCCTGACATGGACGCGCACATCCTTTATCCAGCCCCAGGTTCACTTGTACGATAGATATTTGTTCGACGGCTCCTGGACCGTGGACAGATACCTGGACGACTTGGAGAATCGCTACTTACTGGCGCTTGAGGGGGAAGGGGTTTTATTATAGAGGGATTATGTAGGGATTATAGCTCTTAACTCATCAGCTAGCAGTAAGGCTACGGTGGCATCGACTCAGTGCTGATTTGGCCGACCTACACAAACCTCGGAATTGACGAGAGGAACCAGTTCGACTACTTCAGGGCAGCGCCTTGCTGGTGCTGAAGGGGGAGTACGGGAGTGCATTCCTACACAAACCCCTACATGATGTCGTATAATGATGCTTAAATCCACTCTCCGCCCTAAATCCCTCGTTCTGCCACTTATGTTGCCTCCTCCGCACTGCCAACATTCACTCCGCTCCACTCCCTTTTGATGGAATAGTCCCATGCAATCCCAAAACATCCTTGAAAAAGATACCTGGGTTCACTCCCCCTAAGCAATGGTCCTAAACCCTAAAGCCTTAACATCCTAAAAAGTCCCCAAACCCTGAAATCCTAAAACGTCCCTAAACCCTAAAATCCCAAGCAGTGCTACTAAGGTGCCTGGAGGACTCCAGGCCTTAAGCAACGTCACAGAAGCCTTCCACCAGCGAGGTGTGAGGGTTCTTTGGGCCTACAACCCTTGGGATCCTTGCCTGTGGTGAACAGGAAAGAAACCAGGGGCGGGTCCCTAAATTGAGGGGTGGTTTCCCTAAAATCAGGGGGGGTTCTCTAAAATTAGGGGTCCGATAAGAGGGGGATATAGGGGATGCATAGGGTTTAGGTTTCCCAAAATTAGGTATATTTTTGTGGGGTCCCTGTATATTATAGAGTATTTTGGGTTTATGTTGGGGTTCCCCTGCTTTGGGAAAACACGAGTTGTAGGCCGCCGAAGTCTGTAAGGCCTCGGATTTGGAGGGAATTGGGGAATGGAAAAGACAATGGAAGCAACCTATAGGGTCTAGGATTTTGGGCGGCGGTTCGTATGGAATGAAGGAATGGAAAAAAAGCGCGTGGAAGGGTTTCGGATTTAGGGAAGTTGGTATGGATTTGAGGAATGGGTCTGTACAGTAGTCCGACATGAGGCAAGATCTTATTCCAGGTTTTGGCGAGCCCTTAACAATAAATCATTGTGTATACAGTTCCTTGTCTGGTTGTGAAGTCTGGTGAGAGTGGGCACTGGGCGACCATTTAGGAAAACAGAGTGAGCTACAGACTAAAGCTAAAAACTGGGGGGGGGGCTCACAGGGGATACATACCATACATACCGAGGACAGGGGATGCACCACAGCGACGGCTTTGTTGCTGAGTATGGAGCTGTAAGATACTGTGTATTTCTTTGCTGTGGAACCCTGAATCCTAAACCTTAACTTCGCAGTGGTCCTCATTAGTTTCCTCATCCACGCTTGTCGCTGAAGACTCCACTGGAAGCGGCTCGGGTTCGAGTTTTCCAGACAGCGGGTTCCCATTATATTGCATGAGACCTATACAGGAATATACTTGAACTTTAGTCTAGAGTGCAAAAGGAAGACATGGGTCATATAATCCTCGAATGTACTGAAACCCATTCCTTGAGATTTTCTGAAAACCACTCCTTCATTTCCATTCCAACCAACTACGCCAAACCACGAACCCTAAACAACCTGACACAATACCGCTACCTTCCATTTTCCGATCCATTCCTTGATTCCCCACCCTAAGCCCAAGGCCGCCCCGAGCCCAGAATTCATTCCCAAGTAGCTTACTGGTGGTTAGTAGGAAATGAGGGAACGTGATACTTATAATAGAGTCCCTGTAGAATGTATTCCCTTCTTCCCTATATCATCTAATATCATCCCCATATCATCCCTATATCCCTATGCATATCCCTATGTAGCCCCTACATACGAATTCCCTTATTCCCTACTAACCCCCAGTAAAGTAAGTACCGGTAAGGATCAGGCCACCAGGGACGAGGGCCATCACTGGGATGTCTTGGCTTCACTCCTGAAAGTCAGCGGAGGCAACAGCAAGTGCTGAAAGCCGTTCAGAACGCCCCAGGTTTAGGGTTTAGGGTCTAGGATTGGAAGTTTCAACTTCCTGGGGTTACTAGGGAATAAGGGAATACAGTATGTAGGGATTCCATAGGGACTCTATTCCCTTGTTCCCTCCACCAGTAAGTTAAGGCACAAGGGATTCTGGTACATAGGCGTTAACATAAGGGATCATGAATAAATGGGCTTATATCACGTAGTGATTGTTATTAAGGACGATGTTGTATGAGTAGTATTTTATTAGGGAATACTATGGTACCCAATATAGAGTAAGATTCTATCCTCCTTTTAGGGTATAGTATTTATATAAACCAAAAAAGCACTACTCATATGTCTGGGTTGGTGTTACATGATCCTAGAGGTGATGGCTTCAACGGGGACACCATGAAGACCATCCCCAATGCTTTCTGGAAAGCTGGTACGCTCAACAACTATTCCATCGCTGCAGCTGTGTTGTTGTTGAATACAAGTTTGCATTTTTGTGTATACTTGAACACAAATGCAGGTTTAAGAAAATGGTTGAAGCTGCCGCAACAATACGCGTGTTTCCATAGTTTAGGGGCCCTTTCATGGAGGTGCGTAGAAAGAGAGGTCTGTTTTTCTGGGTCTAAATAATCGGGTTCTCAATTTTCTGCAAACTCCCTAGACGTCCTTACTAGTTCCCATTCTGGCATCTGTTATTGTAAGAGAGGGATTGACCTAAACCCCTAAACACAACCTAAACCCTTGAACCCTAAAAACCCTAAACCCCTGAGCCCTAAACCCGTAAAAATCCTAAACCCAAAACCCTAAACCTTGACCTAACATATTCAAGGTAGAGCCAGAAGGCAGCGGCGTGCCTTGCGACGACTTGGACTATTCCAGCGCAGGTTGGGCCAAGAAACATGGAGTGTAGGGGGTCATATAGGGTTTAGGGTTCAGAGTTTGCTTACATAGGTTTAGGGTTTGAGTTTAGGGTTGAAGGGTTATATGGGTGATATTCAGGGGTTACATAGCGGTATATAAGGGAATGGAAAAGAGAATAGAAAGGACTGCAGTATTCATTTAAGGGTTAGGGTTTGGGGATAGGTGGGAGTTCTGAAAAGGAGGTCCTAGAGACCTTGAGGGAGATGTAGAGAAAGAGGATTGGCTCCCAAGGATTCTAGGGATGATCTTAAGACATATATGTCATCTTCCTGGCCCCATAGGAACGACTGTATGTTTAGCGTGCTTAATTAAGAGGGAAAAGGGACACCCGTGTTTATGCAAAACACATATGGGTAGATTCCTTCAGCTTTTTGATAAGATGCCCCAATGTTGGTTTCCCCAGTTTTGGGAGAACAGTTTTTTGGCCGGTCCATGTAGAAGCGCAACGACGGTCAAATCGGGCGTTGCTTTTAGAACTATTATTCCAAGAATTACACTCACCAGTAGATTTTTTATTGTTCAGGATGGACACCCCTTGGCTGGGGCTACTACGGCCACAAGAAGGCGGATATGATGACCATGCGATACGACTTCGCCCCTGGTAGCTTTGATGGACTCAGCATGAGATTTACATAGGGCCCCGCAGTGAAACAACCAATTGCTATGGCCTGGTTATATGGGAGCAATATTGGGATAATGGAAAACAAAATGGAGACTACTGTATAATATAGTACATTAGGGTTACATTGGGATAATGGAGAATAGAATGGAGACTACTATATAATGTAGTATATTCGGGTTACATTGGGATAATGGGGAATAGAATGGAGACTACTATATAATATAGTATAGTAGGGTTATATTGGGATAATGGAGAATAGAATGGAGACTACTATATAATATAGTATATTAGGCTTACATTGGGATAGTGGAGAATAGAATGGAGACTACTATATAATATAGTATATTAGGGTTATATTGGGATAATGGAGAATAGAATGGAGACTACTATATAACGTAGTATATTCGGGTTACATTGGGATAATGGAGAATAGAATGGAGACTACTATATAATGTAGTATATTCGGGTTACATTGGGATAATGGAGAATAGAATGGAGACTACTATATAATATAGTATATTAGGGTTACATTGGGATAATGGAAAAGAGAATGTGAACTACAGTACTACTAAAAAAAGTATATTACGGCTACATTGGGATAGTGGAGAATGGAACGGAGACTACTATATATTAGGTGGACCCCCCACTCAGTAATAGTGACTATAAGGGATACTAAGGATTATACTAGGGTCCTATCATATTCCTGCTATACCGCTAGTACAGGGTGGGGGGTCCTCCTAAACTATATAGTGCATTTCTGGTCAACATGGGATGGTGTGGGCCCTGTGAAAGGGCAGCAAGCGCGCAACTTGCCACCTGAACACTTCCTCAGCTCAGCTAGGATTTCCCAAAATTAGGTGTACCTTTCTTTGTGTCCTTATAAGAAGGATTATGGTATTTTGGGTTTCATATTAGAGTTCCTAAGCCCTAAACCCGAAACCCTAAACCCTAAGAAACGACCAGGTGTTGACAAAATGAAATGGCTGGATCCCCAGGGACGGCATTTGACCCACGTGTGTGATCGCTGGTCAAAGAGCCGTGCCACGGCGATACAGCTGGCCTTCTTCAACGGAGATGGCTATGAGTCATGGGTGTGCCGGCTCAGAATCAGTTGAGCTCTGCATATTCAGAATATACCAACCCTAGAAAAACATATAGCCCCATTATAGCAGCGTCCATTTTATTTTCCATTCTCTCAATATAACCCAAAATCAAATGGAAGCTACTATAATGGGGTTATGTGGGGTTTAGGGTTTAGGGTTGGTATATTATGCATGCAGTGCTCTACACAGGCGATCAGGGTACCATACAGGTATTGCTTGAAAGGAATCGGCTGCAGGGATGTGGTCTAGATGGTCACCAAATTCGGCGGCTGATGCTAATTTTCCTGCACGGGCCTAAGTACCTAATACTTGGGTCAATATGTTGTTTTGGTAAACTACAGTCGCGCAGGGTTGTTTAGTACAAGCAGTACCTGCAAGAAAAAAACATCCCTAGAAGCCACAAGACACACACGAATTCCATGTCACTGTGAATTTCCTTCCCTTCGACCAGCAAAATATGGTATCCTAGTATGTATACTAACGCATGCAACCCTAAGCCTTAAACCATATGTATCTCCAAGGAAAACCTATGGGAATATCCCCAAGCTCTATATAAACCCTATCTAACCTTATACATTCACATTTATATATACATATATATATGCACGCATACATATATATATATACATATAAATATATATACATATATATATATCTATATATATATACATATATGTGTATATATATAGCTCTAAAAACAGCCCGAGGAAAATATATGGGGGCTATTCAATCGCCTGACGGACAGAGACGCTGAGCTGCTCCGCCGGAGCGCTACGCTGCTGCGCTGGGCTGGCAAGCGGAGCCTCAGCCTAAACAGGCGGTTTAGGGTTAAGGGTTTATGTAGGGATATAAGGGTTATATAGGGTTTACATAGGGATTTAAGGGTTATATAGGGTTTATATAGGGATATAAGGGTTATGTGGGGTTTATATAGGGATATAGGGTTAATATAGGGTTTATATAGGGATATAAAGGTTATATTGGGTTTATATAGGGATGTAAGGGCTGTATAGGCTTTATATAGGGATATAAGGGTTAAGGGTTTATATAGGGATATAAGGGTTATATAGGGTTTATATACGGATATAAGGGTTACGTGGGGTTTATATAAGGATATGAGGGGTATATGGGGGTGATATAGGGATAATGCAAATGATTGGCTACTAAGTTAGGGTTTAGGGTTTAGGGGTACCTTGGTTGGGTTGCTTTTAAGGAACTTTGTTCAATTTACCATACTATGGGTATTTATAGTAAGTAAATAGGCTTTCCCTACTACAGTAACTTAACTTAAGATCCCTAACGGCAACCCAGCTTAAAGGGGAAAAAGGGGCAGTACACATGTCATTTAATGGGAGTTGTATGTTTGGGGATTTCCGAAAATTGTGGTTCCCTTTCTGGGGGTCCCATAATAGTAAAGATGATAGCATTTGGGGGGGTTTGTGTTGGAGCTCCCAATTTTGGGAAACTACCGGAAAGTCCTCTAGAATTCTCGAAGGGGATCCCCATAGTCCCCTCCCATTTCTCACTGAAGCTACCTCTGAAACCCTAAAACCCTAAACCCCAAACCTTCCCATTGCTTAAAGCCATCCGTCCTTACGCGGCGTTTGCAAGTTTGTTGGTGCCAAGGAACTTCAGCCATGATTTTGATGACTGGATTCCCCATGCGCCCGAGGCCTTTCAGAGTTTAGGGTTTAGGTTTTCAGGGTTTTGGGTTTTAGGGTTCAGGGTTTGGGGTTGGGAACGGCTTGAAATGAAATGAGAGATTGCCAGCAAAATCCCAATGTATTCCGTACTAGGGACCTCCATAAGAGCCATAATCTCAACTCCTTAAAGGGGGGCTTACATAAGGGATTATGTAGGGGACTACTTTGGGGGTTTCTAAGCGGGATACTAGGGGCTTAGACTATGGCTCATAATCCCATTCGAAGCTCTGTGTTCCCGATCGAGTCATGCAGGGCTGTTTTGAGGAAACCCCAAGAACGGAACCATATGCGTCCCTGTCAACGCTCACTTGCCGTTTCACATTCTATTGCAGCCCAGAAAACATAGAACCTACTATATCATACGTATGTCTGTTACCACCGCTAGGATTCTGCAAAACCCAATACGTCTGCCAGCGCAAGGCCACGGATGCCTCCCGAGGCATTTTTGCCTCCCGATTCGAAAAGGCAGGAGACGCACTTTGGCTCCTGATCAACAAGGGGAACACTTCCTACTCCACAGCCCTGAACTTAGCACCTTTCTTGCTGGCTTTTTTGCAGTGACTGAAGGATTAGAGTGTCAACTGGGGGCTATCTGAGCTATATAGAGACTGGCTCCTCAATTCCAATCCCTGCTAACAACCAGAAGAATTGGCGGCAGCTTTCCAACTTTTGGGGCTTTGCTTGGGAAATCTTGAGATGCCGAGGTGCAAATTCCCCAGATGTTCCTTGCCAAAGGCTGTGAAATCTTCGATCTGTATCATGGCATGAGGGCTTGGGTCTCAGTGATGCGATAACGGGAAAGCATGTCTTTCATGAATGCCATGTTAACTCGTTGGAGAAGGTGAGCCCAGATGTGGATGGCACCTTCGCAGCATTTCAGAGCACCAGCGCAGAGACCAAGTAAAGGAAGTCAAACTGAAATTGCCGCATTTACGCCTGCGCCCGGTGTCATGCTTGCTTCTCCTCTATACCTCCGCAAGGTGTAGTGAACATGAGCATTGAACCTGGGGCAGTGTCCGCACTTTTGGCGACAACCCGCGGTGCGGAAGAGCAATCTGGCTTGATTCAGCACCCTTTTCCATACCCACACAACCCCATGGAACCCCTATAATGTAAACCCCTTATAACCCCCATAGTTACTTGTTTAGGTGAACTTGCCCTGAGCAGTAACTGCAGGGAGATGCTGCTGCAAAAGATGGCAGCCATGACTCAGCAACCTCTTGCCGCTTAGCATATCTGACAGCCCATGTGCTGCTGTCGCTCATGCAGTCTGCTTGTGAACATCTGTAAATGTACAGTGTGTGCATATATGAAAGTATTGTACGCACATTTTTGTCCAAGGACTTTAGGAGGGACCCCTACTAGAGACCCTGAATCCCATTGCAATATATAACCCTCATATAGTCTTTATATAGCCCCTACATTCCTAGGTAGTTCCCTGTGAGAATAAAGCCTGAGGCTGCGTTCTCGCCGACCTGGCAGGTGTTGCAGCAGCAGATGGATCCAAGGAAAGTTGCTGAGCAGTTTTTTTCAACTAAGTGGGGTCAGTAGGGAGTAAGGGAATATGGTTCTATAGGGATAATGGAAAAGACAATGGAAACTACTATTTAGGGTTTAGGGATAAGGGCTTGGGGTGAGTGGAGGCCAAGGGAATATACTAGATAGGGATTGATTACATAGGGATTGTATCCCCTTATTCCCTACTAACCACCAGCAAGTCAAGCTGGCACTAACCCTAAACCCCTAAACCCAAACCCTAAACCCTAAAAGCCCTAAACCCCTGAACCCCTGAACCCCTAAACCCTAAACCCTAGAGTCACCTCAGAAGAGCGGAGGCCCTCAACCAAAGCCTTCGAACATCCACCGCCCGACATGGTTCTGTGACTTGACCTGAAGGCAAGTTGCTGGCAGGTACTGGGGTTAGGGTCTATTTTGGAGAATATATATATATATATATGTGTGTATATAGAGAGACACAGACAGAGAGAGAGAGAGAGAGAGAGAGAGACAGAGAGTAATGGAATTGGGGGTTAGGGTATATGTTGGGGTTATATATAGGGAAGACTAAAAACGCAAATGGAAACTACTCTCGTATGTTGGGGATAATATTGGAAGCCTGTTGAGTGAACCTCTGGGGAGTTTTCATCTGCAGCCGCATCACTGCTTCCTGCACACTGGGAGCAGGGTGCCACCTTTGGCTTTCATGTCAGGCGTTATAGTCCCACAAGCAGACCGAATATGGCTTTGGATATGTTATAATAAGATCCCCATATACACCATATTCTATCTACTTAAGGAGGAATATAGGCCCAGATCAGTCAACGTGTCGGATACGGTCTGGAAGTGCGGATATGGCCTCGAAAGAACGAGCATGAGCTATTTAAACATGATTTCTTGCAACACTTCTACCGGTCACACCCTAAGATTGGTTTTTAATTCTTGTGGAATTTTCTAGTCTTACCGGGGTTCGTAAGGAACAAGGAAATGTGTCATGCAGGGATGATGTTCCGTTCTTTCCTACTAACCACCAGTAACAGTAAGTAGATGTAAGAAGTAGGTAGCCTCAGTAACCTATTCGAGATTTTTCTGGATTGCAGGATTTTTGTTAAAACGATACATAGGGCTAAGCTTTTGCTTGCAATACCCCAGTACTGATATGGCCTCTAATCTCTACACCCTATATACCCCTATATACCCCCTATAAAGCCTTGAAATTAAACCCTACATAACCCCTATATAAACCCCCTCTATAACCCCTCTAAAGTGTTACCACCTAGGTTGCCTCGAATGAAATTCAACTTCGATGTCAGCGGCACAGAGTTCGAGGGCGGTTGTGATCCGGCGGATGACCCTAACAGAGTTTGTCACGGACTCAGGTGTACTTGGGGGTCGGGAGTAGTGAGATAGTATATGGGATATAGGGACTATTAACTTGCTTACCAAGTCCTCCTGACCCCCAAGTAATCTCCTCCCCCTAACAATAAAACCCCCCACCCTCTGATTATGAATAATACCCCTGAGGGGGGAGGGGGGGTCATGATTAGGGGAGGGGATTGATTGTGATGTGAGTGGTTTGCAGAATGTCCCTCACCTATATAATCCCAGTTTCCATTTCATTTTCCATTTTCTTTTCCATTTGATTCTCCATTATTGGGGTGTATATATCCCCCTTTAAGGAGTTTAGACTATGTCTTGAGCTGTTCATCTTCTGCAGGCTGCAAATCCGAAGTCTGCAAGGGAGCTGGAGCTCCCAACTGTCAGTGTGGCGTTGCTGGGTTGCTGTTGAGGAACTTAATTTAAGTTACTATATTGGGGGAAACATATTAATTACTATATATACCCATTATGGTAACTTAAATTAAGTTCCTTAACAGCAACCCAGGTTGTGCAGTTGGAGTATTTTGGACCTCTCCTCAGCTAGCAGCTAGCAAATGTCTTGACAGCATGCAGAGATTAAGCCCAAGGTGGCGCTGTCCAGAAGTTTTGTTAAGGAGTGGATGTGCAGTTCCCTTGGGAAAGTCAGCCCGAGCGCAATCACCGGAAGCAGCTTGATCTCGGACCATTGCTGTTCGATCGCGATCTGGCAGCCTTCTTAGCTGATAAACTCAGAGGCAGGCATGTGCTCGCAGTGTCTCGAATTCGCACGGTGCTTCCGAGGTCACCAACGCTGATTATCTGCGATACCTAAACGCCAGCGGAATCTCGACAGGAAGGTAAGTTGTTGTGCATAGTGCATATGCCATGGTGCAGGGAAGTGTGCGGTCTCGCATTTTCTGAGGCTACAAACCGACCGACAAGTTCAATTTCCTGAAGCACTGGGTCATGGGTCGCCCAAAGCCAGGCTCCAAACAGCAAAGATTTTACCTCCAGAATGTGGATGCATCCCATACAGCATAGTTGATAGTTCTTCTAGCAGTTGAGATTTGCTCTCAAAACCCTCAAATCTTGAAAAAGCCTGTCCAAGGGAGTTCTGTCGCTGAACCGTTTGGGAAACCATACCAGGCGATGAGCAAAAGCCCGTGGTGAACATCGGCTTTGAGGAAGCCCAAGCCTTCTGCCAGTTCTATGGCAAGAGGCTCCCTCACAGCTGCATGGCCACATTCGATGTCCTCAGGCTATAGGATATGGGTAGCTTCCAAATTAGGTCCCTTTTAGGTACCCTTCAACACTAGGTGTCGTAATAGAATCTATAACCAAAAGGGACCCATAATTTTGAGAACAACCTCTCGTACTTAAGGCTATGAGTGGCAGCTCGCAGCACAAGGGCAAGATGGCAGGAGATATCCTTGGGGAAACGACTGGGATCCATCTGTAGTTCCACCGCCAGGCAGGGTCCACCAAAAGGATTTAGGGTTTAGGGTTAGGGGGCGTTCAGTGGCATCTAACAAGTAGGCTTACCAGGGGGCTAGGGGCTATTGAGGGTGGACATAGGCGTCCCTTTGGTAGTTTAGTATAGTCCCTCATGGGACTCATGTCCATTTAGCTGCAGAAGGAAATCGTGTCTGTAGCTCACATCCTAAACCCATTAGCTGAGGTCATGACCCGGTCAGCATTGGCCAGTACGAGAAGGGAATCTCAGTTTTCGGCGTGCGCGATTTGATCGGAAACGTCTGGCAGTACACCGACTCCTTCCGGGACGACCATACCCGGGCAGTCCTCCTCCGCGGCTCCAGTCGCTACAACCCTGAAGTCTCCGAAGCCTTCCCCTCCATTCACCAATCTGTAAATTGGCACCCTGGCTTGCCGTTGTTTTCCGCTGCGCTTCAGTCCTTTTGGTGGCTCTGCAGGTACTTCCCTCCAGCCCGCGAGCAGGGAGCTCAGGAATTTGCCAGCTATCCCCTCAGTTCATGAGCAGTTTGCTATGCTGAGGCTCAATAGGCACTCCAAGTACTTCCTCATGAGTCCCTCAACCGCAGTCAGGAGAGGAACTGCACAGGCACGTTTACTACTTGGTAGTTTCCACATAATATAGTGAGGACACATTATGTAGATGTGTGGATATGAACCGTTCTCAAGCTACTTACTAAGTCCCCCTGACCCTAAACCTCAAACCCTATATAGTAGCTACGAAATCCCCCGGACCTAAACCCTAAACCCTAACCCACCCTCTACGTAGGTAACAGCTACGAGCGGGCTGGGACTCTGGGCTTCCGCTGCGCCGCCGATGTGGTTGGTGGACCACCAGCTCCTCACCACTACTGGAGCCTAGGTACCGATTTAAGGGTTTTAAGGGTTTAAAGGTTAAAGAGTATAATTTAATGGTTTAAGGATTTAGGGTTTGAGGGTTTGAAGGTTTAGGGTTCAAGGGTTTGAAGGTTTAGCGTTCAAGGGTTTAAGGTTTAAAGGTTTAAGGATTTAGGGTTTAAAGGTTTAAGGGATTAGGGTTTTAGGGTTTACAAGTTTAGGGTTCTCCGCTACTTGTACAACTGTTCTGTGTCATTTGATTTTCCATTCTTGGGGCAATGTCCCTTGACTGAATTTAATCCCAATATAACCCTACATGTTCCTATATAAGCTAGGTGGGACCTTGATACATGTGTTGTTTTTTAATACTTTTTGGAGCTCCTGGTCCTCTGGCTCAGAATAAGTGTTTTTAAAGGCTACAAGTCAAGCTTTTAGTGGAGGCTCAAGAAGCAACCAAGGAACAGCGACGGCGAGGTTCTGAAATTTGTCTGAGAGTTGCCAAAAATTGAGTGTCCCTGTGTTAAGGGTCCCGCTTTTCAGGATTTCTAGTATTTATGGGGTATGCGACCGAGAGCTCGTTTTTGGAAATACCCGTCTCATTGATGTACAATCCGGCAGTGGCTGAGCAATGTAGCAGCAGCCATGTACATAAATGAGCCATAGTCCAAACTCCTTGAAGAGGGTTACACAGGCATTAATATAGGGGAGTATTATAGGGGCTATTCGGGGGCATACTAGGAGTTTAGACTATGGCACAAGTGTAGGATGAGCGCGCCCTGCCAAGACCCTTCGATTCAGATTTCTGGATGCCTGACCTTCAGACGTGGAAAAACATGAGCTACAGTCATTATCTAGCACGCGGGTTTAGGGTTTAGGGTTTAGGCACCAAGCGACCATTCAGGGAAGACCCTTTCGTAGTGTAGTATAAAGATTAATATGTCCCTGATATGTTCCCTAAGAAGAATCCATGTCCACTCACTGCGCAAAGGAATATTGACTGTAGCTCCCCTGCGTTGCGCCATGCCTGCCTGCCCCCGGCTAACCCCAATATATACCCTGTTACAGTATAGTAGTTTCCATTTTCTTTTCCATTATCCCCATATAACCCCTATAAAACCCCCAAACCCCATATTCTATCTGCTTAGACGGGACTATATGCTTACCGTGGTGAATCACGGGATGGAAAGGAAATGCAAGTTGCCATTTAGCCGGGATTATGGGGAGTGCTCATTCCTATACTCGCTACCGACTGGGTCTAGGGCCTTTAGGGTTGAGGTTTAGAATGTAAGGTTTAGGGTTTAGGGTTGTGCATGGCGCTGTCTTGAAACAAAAGTGCCTGCTAATGATCTGCATCTGTACTTAAAAGTCGTGATCAATCGCAGACACTATCATCAAGGGTGTTTACCCCAAAATAGAATATCCCCTGTTATGGAGACCCGCAAAAGGGACCCCTAATTCTGGAAATCCTAATGCAGTCGCCACATTTAGACTGCAACTCTGCGCACCCTTGAAATCTGTTTGCCTTATAACCCTCCCCAGACAAGCGCACCTTTGCCCCTGACTTTTACTCCTTGCCTGACTTTAAAAGATATCATGGGGGTTTCCTTAAAAGTAGGGGTCCCTTTAAAGAGGGATATAGGGGCTATATAGGGATATATAGGGTTTAGGGTTTACTAAAATCATGAATACGTTTTGGGGGTCCCTAGAAAAAGGACTATAGCATTTTGGGGTGTATATAGGGGTTCCCTTGTTTAGGGAAACTACCATATTGAAAATCTTGCTTCATACAACATCTCGTACCTGAGGAATTGGGTTTTCTAGCATACTAAATACTAAGGCCATGCAGGATTTCCCTAAACCCTAAACCCTAAACCGTGCGGCGTATGAAAGTGCATTGTTGTATGGAGGTCGCGGGAGTCTGCGCCGGGTTGGAGCCCCGAGGTTTGACCCAGACTTCGGACTTGACATCATAAAAGGCTACATGGGTTATAAAGGGGTTATGGTACCTACTAAATGGAGAATCAAATGGAAAATGAAATGGAAACTGGGATTATATAGGATGTTATGTGGCTTATATGGGGGTAATATAGGGGTTATACAAGGAGAATGGAAAAGAAAATGGAAACTACTATTCAGGGTTTGTGCAGCAGTTGACGTAGCCTCCCCAGTTGTCAAGGACCAGAAACGTCAAAGCCTACGACCGGTGCCAAGGCCAACGTGACATTTAGGGATCCGGATGCCGTAACCATGAGATAATGGGTTTAGGGTTTAGGGTTGCTCATGATGCCTTTCCATACTATTTCTTACATAACTATAGAATACTATCCCCCTGATTAGAACTATGGCATACTATCCCTTAATTATGACTATAGTATTCTATCCCCCTCAATATCATTCTGATTATCTAGGCCCCTAGTTGCTCATGTCTTCGCAGGCCAAGGCAGCGCCACGGGCTTGGTGTCCATCCACCGCTTTAGGCAAGACATTCCATTGGGGTAGAATATCGGGTTTAGGTATCTTATCCGCCTATAATGGAGAATCAAATAGAAAAGAAAAATTAATAATTAAATGGAAACTGATGGAATACAGGGATTTAAGATTGATTGGCATTGTCTGATCTGCTTCTGAGATCGCCGGCGACGGCGAAGTCTGCAAGGCTTCACAGCCGTGCTTCTACTCAATCATGTACTTGTAGCATCCTGTGCAGCATCACTTTCTCAAACTCGTTACCACCTTCCTAAGCCGTACTGGTGGGTAGTAGGGAATATGGATATTATATAGGGTTTATATAGGGATTATATGTATTCCTTGCTAACAACCAGTAAGAAGCACTGCCAGGAAAGTGTGGGTCCCAACGGCTCCGAAGGCTCTGAGCAGCGTGCATGTGAGCTGCCATTGCACACACCTGAGCTGCTGACTAAAGTCAGCATTTGCGGGACAGGGGATTTTTGGTGTTTCTGGGGGTCTAGTAAAGAATCTCTTACAACTTTAGATGTAACCCCCTACTAGGGACCGCCATAGTCCCCTATCCCTAAAGTCCCCAGGAGCCCCTCATGAAACCAGAGCTCACTTGACTAACCCTGTGCTTGGGGTTGGTCAGACCTCGCAGGTTGTTGATCGCGGGCCAGAGCCAAAGCAAACAAGCTTGGCGGAAGGCCTTGCTACGCCCTACTTGGGGGGTCAGGGCGACTTAGTAACTACTGGGGGGGGGTGGTTCTATAGGGGTTATATATGTAGTAATAATGGAAAAGAAAATGGAAAGTAAATTAGCGTTTAGGGCTTAGGGTTTAGGGTCAGGGCGACTTAGAAAGTAGGTCAATAAGGACCATAACTGGGGTTACTATATAGGTTATTGGGGTTATTAACCTACTTACTAAGTCCCCCTCACACTCCAGGTAGTTGTGCAGCGGACTTGATGGTTAATTGATAGTTGTAGGGGCTTTACAACAAGTCCCGTAAGTTAGGTAATATGTAGAGATATCCCAACTACAATCCAACCTATAGTTATTCATGAACTCTCCAAGTAACATCCTGCAGAGTCAGTGAGCACGAGAGCAAGCAGGTCGCGCGCGCTGGGAGCGCATCACGAAGCGGCACGACGCCGGGCTGCTCTTAGTTAAGGAACTTGCATTACGTTACCATTATAGTTGCGCCATGTTGCTTATTACAGTTGATCGACAAAATCCTGCATGACTTTCAGTATTTTGCAGACCAGAACTTCCAAGGTTTACCTATATCAGGTCATGCAGGATTTTTATCCATCAGCCGTATGTATCCATGCTATGGTGTCTGAATCTAAGATTAAGAACAACAACAAGAAGAACAAGAACAGCAGCAGCAGCAGCAGCAGCAGCAGCAACAATAGCAGCAACAACAGCAGCAACAACAACCCAGGAAGAGGAGAGGATACGGATGGCCACCGAGCAGCCAAAGGCAGGACCTGCCTGGAGTGGGTGTAGCATTTTAGGGTTTGGGGTTTAGGTTTTTGGAATTTAGGATTCGGGGTGTAGGGTTTTGGGGTTTAGGTTTAAGTTTTAGGGTTTTAGGGTTTTAGTTAGGGTTCGCCAGCGCAGCGGGCACCCTGGCCATCTCATGGTTTCCAAGACCCAAAACAAAGTGTTCTTTGTTTTGCATTTTGCGGTTTCGGGGTGACGACAAAACAACGTTGGACCTGGACCTTTTTTCGTATGTGTGCCTTGTTTTTTGAAGGCATTTTTTGGCGATTCTTGGCAGACTTTGACCGCCAGAAAAAAAGCCCTCAACTCAGATTGAAAAGCTTTGGGGCTGGATGTTACGCTCTGCCTGACATATGTGGTGTCTCGGGCCCGCAACAGTGCATCGTAATTGTGGATGGAGAGGTCATCAAGGGTCCAGTTGCTGCTTGGCGGATCCCGCTGATGCTGCCACAGGGCATTGCGGTCTGGGAGGCAATCAGCTCCCTCCCGCCGTGGATCTGCGATTCCTCCCGGACAACTGCGTGATCTGCAGCTGCAAAAGCTGGGGTGTGATTGCTCTTGCTGGCGGAGATTACGACGGTGATGTGATTATGATATGCACAAGTCCTGATTTGCTGCCTTTCCTTGCTGCAACGCGGTCACGATGTTGCATCCGGAAGCTGCAGAGCGCGGCAGGATTCGCCAAGCGGCAACTGGTTCGAAAAGCTCCCGAACCTTGTTCTAGCCTCTTGGACTACATCAACTTTTGCAGGAAAGTGCCCACGCCAGAGGTCAGGGGAGTGACTTGTGCGGCTGCAGATCGGGTGCAGATGGTCACGTGGAAGGCAAAGTTTCCATGCAAGACAAGGACAACGTAAGAACGTCGTATAGTCAACAGACATGTGTGCATGGGATTATCTTGCCGCGGAAAGCCATTGTTGCAGGATGCAGGAAGCTTTTCGCATGGGAAGCATCGCTCACGCCTCATACGATGCCCCCAAGAAGCACGATGCAAAGGCTCTTTGCTTCAATTGCATGATATGGGACGCGCAACTTAGTTGTACATGATGGCTTGTAAAGGTTAGCGGTATACATTACCGTGTCTGAAAGCACGTAAACTTAGCAAACGCAGGCCGTCTCAGACCTTGCAACGGCGCGCTTGCGCCAGGCTGGCCTGAGTTGCAAGAGTGAGCGATTTTCTACATACATCAAGCGTAAGTTTCTAAAGCCCCGCTGCTATGTGAGCCGTTCACGGCCTTGGGATGACGGAAAGTTTTCCTCGACGACTGCTGAGATGCAGCTGTGCCAAGTTGTCCTCCCTTTTCGGGAAGTCAAGCTTAGTGGTGCCGCGGTGAGCTAGTACTGGCTGAGTCACGCAAACGTCGGGACTTGGCCGCAGAAGCCCTTCCGGTTGCTAGGCGCTCAATGCTGTGCGACCTGGGCAAGCTCTTGAATCACCGACCCAGGGAATTCTGGCGATTGGTCGGTCAGGGAGGTGTCGATGGGTTGGTCACAAAGGCAAAGCGTCATCACGCACCCAAGCCCGTCCATATTCCA